CGACGACGATAAGCATCGCCATTTTTTTTTTTGTTTTGTGTTCCATTATCGATGTTTTCTTTCCCTCACCAAGCCCATAATGAGGGCGAGAAGTTGGAGTAGTTTCACATAACTTCACTGTCACCACTATTTATCAGTGAGCTCATAAAGCAGCAGGCAACCGAAGCTCGGAAGAACAGAGCTAGATCAATTTCTTGCACGCTTCTTCTGCTATCTTGTGCACAGCGCAACTTAGGCCATAAAGAGCGGTGTAGCACGGTGGCACAGCGAGTAGCAGATGAGGGCAAAGGGGGAAAAAAATAAAAAATTATGCGTTAATTCCAGCACTGATCGTATAAAAACGTTATCAAAAATGAAAAAGTATACCGCAGGAATCCGATGACGTGGAATTCTTGACAGAGCTTGTAGTTTCACATAACTTTAACGCATGATGCCACGATTCTTTGGCCACATTCCATAACGCTACATAAATGGATGATTCTGGAGAGGCCAGAAATGGCAGAGCTGCCGGAAAGAAGATCAGCAGACGGTTGGCGAGCACATAACCCGGCTCCATTTTGCTGTTCTTCAGAAGCTGAAAAAAACACATTGCCAAAAGCTGCAAATTTTAAGCCTTAAGCAATCTCGAATTAATTAGCGCTTTAGGAAAACGAGCAATTTCGTCAAAAATTATAAAGTAAATTTCACACAAAGTATATTATATTCCACTTTTCTTCTTGTTTGATCATTTATTCAATTTTTCTTCATCTTAACTCATATCTGCTAGCAAGACCATCTACAATTTCAATCAAATGTAGCAGTGGGGGTGTACTTGAGAGACACTTATTCAAATCTCTGGGCACAGCAAAAGTATCGTATGTTCCTAACGTCTAAGTCCGACAGTTTTGCATGTTTTTAAATAACTAATGCCGATGGCCCTACACAATTCTACATGACTGACTCGGCAGCGTGGCATACTTCTGTGCGAACTGCTTCTCGCATTCACCACGAGAAAACAGCCAGTTACTGAAAGACGCAAAAAAATCCTGATTTAATTAATAGTAAATCTGCGCACATTCCAAATAAATCCGTCATATGCGCACTTAGTTTGAAGACAGCAACGCTGGGGAGGAAATGATGTCACTCAATATGCGCTAATAACAGTTCGAAACGGCTAAGGCCTTGCCAACCACTTTGTTTGTGTCAACAACCTCCTATGAGACAAAACAAAATGCCACAATAAACGAATGGCGAAGCAGTACTGGCCAGAATAACTGTGAAAATTATTAATAGCTGCATAGCTAGGGAATCGGACTGCAAAATAACATTGGTCGAGGGACCGAAGTAATTACGGGCCACTAATTAATCCGCTGGTCCGATCCGCTAACTAGATTATATGGAGTGTTGTGGATGAGCTGAGCTCAGTAGAGAACTCGGTAGCTTGGTTGTTGACTCAGTTACTGGAAAGGATCAAAGCGTGCCAGTGACGGAAATGTCGTATCAAGTAAGTAATTAATCCAAATTTAACAGCAATTGTTGGAAATCTACCACAATTAAACATAACAAGGTGTAATGTCTGAGTGAAAATTACCTCATTTATGCAAAAAACGAAGACATCGGTGGACGTGGATAGATGAATTTGTGCATGTTTTGAAGCCATTGCAATGTCGGTGGCGCGTTTATGGATATTGATTGAGAGCGCGCAACATGCGCTTACTCCATCCAGTTGTAGCTCTTCCGCGGTACAGCTAAGCGAAAGTGAAGTTATCATTAAAACCAGTGCATTCGACACACTGCTGATGAATTCCACGGCCGATTCCGTTAAGACCAA